TTGCACCAAGGACTTGCCTTTCCTAACTGCAACATTCAATTTTTCTCTTAAAGAAGATGACTTGTGTTCCTCCTGACTGAGTAGATCTTGCAGTTCTTTATTTTTGATACCTAATTCTTCAAGTTCACGAACCAATGATTGATTAGTCAACACAATATTCTCCCTCTCCTCCTTCAAGGACAACAAGTCGCTGAGAGCATCCTCCAATTTTCTACTGAGAGCACCTCCATCTGCATCTTCAGCACACCTGACATTACTTTCTCTATTTTCTTCATGAGAGAGATCAGCCCCTTTATCAACATGCTCAAGTGTTAACTCAGACTCAGAAGGTAAAGAAAGAGCGGTATACTTCTCTATAAGCTTCCTAAGTAGCTGTTCCAAAGCTTCAGTGCTACCAGAGCTAAATAACGCATCATCTGTCTCGGAATTCTGAAGGACATCTTTGACCATATCTCCCAATCTTCTTATTTCACCTTCAAGATGATGAATACGCTCCTCTGCTCCAAGCATTTCGTTCAGTTTCTTCTGCAAGTCACCTACTCTGCTCCGTNGTCACCTACTCTGCTCCGCAAATCATCATTAGTTATGTCAGATTGGGCAGTTTTCCTTGACATTTCCTCATAATCAAAGTTAAGAGACTCCAAATTCTTCAAAAGCAACTCTTTCTCACTGACAACCAATTGATATGCACTCTCAAGCTCAGATATTTTTCTGCGTGACTCTTCCAATTCAGCGCTTGCTGATGCAAATGATGATTCAAAATTATCATACTTTTGTTGGAGAGAGTTGTACTGGTTTTGAGTTTCTGAAAACGCAAGCATTAGCCAACCAATCCGATCTTCTGGCTCCATAGATCTCAAGTGTGAAGGCATATCTATCCCGTCCAAGATCTCTTCCCACTTCTGGACAAGGTTGTTTCTTTCCATCAAGGATTGTTCAAGCATCTCATTTTGTTCTGCCAACCCATAAAACTTGCCCTGGAGCTCCTCAAATCTTCTTCTAAGGTCTTCGGAAGATCCCAAGTTTGACTGTGCCACCTCTTTCCATCCATCAGTGAGTGCATATCCAGTATCAGAGTATGATCCTCCAATAGAGCTCTTCTGATCCCATTCAGACAGATGCAAAGAGTTCCCAGCAACTGACTTTGCCAAAAAATCAACTTTTTCAATGATATCCTTTGAATGGAAATGCTCTGGAAGCTCCAAATCTTCTAAAATCTCCTCTACTCTCTGAAGAACAGAGTCTTTGAGAAGGAATGACTCCCTTAATGCAGTAGCAGAGTTGCGAATGTATGAGAGTTCAGATTCCAAAGCTTCCATGCGCTCACCTGCCTCCGAATAGGTCTTGAGTTTCATTTCAATTTCCTGAAGCCTTGCATCTTTCAACTGCAACTCCTCAGAGCATTTCTGCAGTTCAGAGGATGTGTCTGCAAGAGATTGTTTAAGACTGTCACGCTGCACAATCAAACCTTTGCCCTTGGTGACTGCTATGCCAAGCTTCTCTCTTAGAGATGATACCCGCTGCTCAGACTGTTCAATATCAGCAACTTTCTCTTGATATTGCGAACCAATAGCTACAACCTCTTCCTCAGCTCTCTTCAAACTTTCCCTGAGGACAACAACTTCATTTTCACATTGAACAAGTAATAAGCTCAAGTGATCCATTTGTCCCTGCAGATCAATCACTTGTGCTTCCTTGGAAGCATATCCCTTCCTGGACAACCTCGCATCTTCAGTTGCCTCTTTATACTTCTGAACTAGGAGAGAGATCAGGGACTCTAGACATGATACTGGGTCATTAACGTTGGTTTCAAAGCTATCTAAAGCAATGACTCCTTCAACCACTTGAACCATCTTTAAAATAGAATCTGATTCAAAGGATCTTTTGCTCAGTTCTTCAAAATCTTTTGTCCTGGCCATCAACTCAGACTTCAGCTTTCCATTTACAAATTCAACTTGTGCTTTCTCATCAAGAAAACTTTGCAACTGCTCCAGTAGGGAATCAAAAGCACCAGGATGAGAAAGATCTACTGGTTTCTCAGGATCGTCAACTTCAGCTTCTTGTAGATGCCCTGGCTTTTCATTCACAAGTTTCTTGAGGTTACTATAAATCTTATGCAAAAGACCGGCAGACCTTTCATTTTCAACTTGCAAGAAGTCTAACTTCTCATTGACTTCACGGGAGGTACTCACTGACTCATGGCGAGAAGCTTCAACTTGATCCTGCAATGCCTCGATCACATTGATGGCAGCATCGATAGATGCAGCAGTACGGCTACTTAAGTTTATGCACCCTAGACCATGGTCTATTCTTGACGGCGAAGAGGAGCCAACAGTCTCAACAGACAAATCTAGCCTCCGAAGTGTCTGAAAAACCTGATCAATTGTAGAGTTCCATTCTTCTCGGAGTATTGATCCTCTGTCAGCAACTTCCCTATAAAGCGCTTCTACCTGATTAGAAATATCAGAACCCATCTCTTTGCAGCTTTCACGCATTTCACCCAGCTGATTTTGCAAAATAGATAGTTTTTCCTGATAGCTGCTAAGATTCCCCCTTAACTTATTGTTCTCAGATTTTGCGGCGACTTCTTCCTTGTGCAAAGCTTCATTTAGGACCATAAGTTCTCCCTCCTTTTCTTTAGCATTCCAGAAACATCCCCCTAAAGATTCATTGAAAACCATTAGCTCAATGTTTGCTCCTTCCAAAAGATCGATAAGTTCATTCAGAGACTGGAATTTGGCCCTGAGTTCTTCAGCAGCAACCACAGCGGCTGTTTTGCAGCTCTTCTCTCCCTCAAGAAATTGGTAGCCCTTGCCAGCTTCCAACACCAAATCTTTCAGCAACGCTCTTAATGTTTTTGTTAGCCCTTGAATTAGCACATAAGGATCTGCATCTGTTTGATTTTCAAATGACTGAAGCTCCTCTGGGTGGTGCTCATCATCATGGTCCTTTGGCTCAAAAGCTTGAATAAGTTTCGACACACCAGGTGAAACCGCTTTACCAGATGACCTACTCATAGAAGCTGACTGAGAGTGCATATCTCCAATTGCTTTCTCAAGTTTTTCAAGTACTCTCTCTGCCTCCTCCTCGTGTCTTTTCATAACTCCAAACCATTTTGAACCATCATCATCAATCAGATTTGCGGGTGCAGAGCTAGACTGGCAAGAAACTTCAAGTTGAGGTCCAGCTTCCCTAGATTGATATGCAAAGCTACTTTGGTTAGGTGACTCTGTCTTCATCGTTTCAAACAACTCCAAGCTTCTCTTCAGATACATGTTCTCCTCGGTTAGTTGTTCAATACGCAGAGTTAAGTCTTTCAGGTCATCTTCCACCTTATTGCACGAGTTCTTATATTCTGCCAACTGAAATAACTGTTTCTCAGACTCGGAGAGAAAATACTTATTCTGCTCCTCAAGCTTGTTTCTCTCTTCCATCAATTGCCCTTTTGCTTCGGCCACTTCCATCTGCAGAGCTTCAGCTAGAGACTTGGACTCCTGAAATTCCAACCCTAGTTTCTCAGTTTCACTGAGCAAAGACTGTTTTTCCTCCTGAAGCTGTTTTTTCGCTTCTTTTACAGATATCAAAATCTCATTTACGTTCTTGTTCTCAACCTGAAGAGCTTCCACAACATTTTTGTGATCCGACATTTGAGCAAGCAGTTTCTCATTCTCACTGAGTAGATGCTCCTTCTCTCCATCAAGTTTCCTTTTCTCCTCACTCAAAGAAGTGAAATTCTCTGACAACTCCGCATTTTCCAACTGCAGTGATCCGAACAAAGTTTTAGACTGTGCTAGCTCTGTTCCCAGTTTTTCATTCTCAAAAACAAGATTCTCCTTCTCCTCCAAAAGCTTCTTATTCTCTTCAGATAGCAAATTAAGGCTTCCTATTAAGCTCTCATTTCGAACCTGTAAAGTTGCCACCAAATTCCTGCAGTCAACCATCTCAGAAGACAGACTTGCATTTTCACCAAGTGATGTTTCCAAATTAGTCTGCAATTCATTTATTCTTTCAGAAAGTTCTCCAACCTCACCTTTAGAAACGTGAACCTGCTTTTGGAGGCCATCCCTTTCAGATACAATCAATTGAAATTCAGTTCTCAACTGCGCAAGCTGATCAGCAAGGATATCATTCTTCTCTCCAAGGTCATTCAATGAAGCTTTGGCCGCAGATATTTGATCGGTCAACGTATGATGTTGACGACAGAGTTCCATCTGAAGTTCTGACTCTTCAGCTAGCTGCAAACAAGAGACATCTTTTACAAGACTTGCTAGGTATAGCTGTTCTTTGAGCTTCTCAAAATCGTCAAAAAGCTTCAAAGAAGGTGCATTTGGAGCTGATTCTCTGCACGTGAGCAAGAACCTAAAGCCCTCTTCATCAAGGTCTCGTACCACCTCCGCCAGCTGATACAAGCTAATATAACTTTCATCTGACCTCGATGAGATGTTCACCATTTTATTTTTTACAGAATCCTCAGAAACAATATCTATGGAGTCAGAAATTCGAACATCATCCCTGTAATTTTCATATTCACCAGCACTCGAAGGCCTTTCTAGTTTTTCTTCCTCGTGCAA